CAAAAAAATTCTTAGTTGCTGCCATGGACAGTAGAAAGAGGTATACAGATAATATTTAATATTTTTCCAGTGTACTTCTTATATTTTAGTTTTCTTATTTTTTGTTGTTGTTGCTACTTTTAGATGTCTTTTGTTGTTGTTATATTTTGTTATCTTAGTTCATGTAACTTAATTTCTTTTTGTCTATCAAAAGTTTTTTTTTTTTATCCATAAGTCTTTGAGTGAAATGTATTTTTTATTTGGTGCAGCTCCTAGTTTACATAGTGAGCCCCTGTTACAAAAGGGAAGCAATAAATAAATAAATATTGAGTAACAACTATTATTATTAAAATGGAGTTTCTCAAGCAAACCCGCCACTAACTCCATCGCTAACTTAATCCTAAAAATCTGAATATTTTTTGTGTTAAACGTCTTTCTGTCGACTACACTTTACAGATTTAGTTTGCAGTCTATTTAGTATGCCAACACACAGATGAAAAACTATTTCTTGTGACTGTATTTTATTCATTCTTTATTTCAGGTATAAACATTGCAAGTCTGTGGATCAGGTTAGACCAGAGATTATCAGAATTACCGATATCTGTAAACATTGATAATGTTATGAAAGGATTCCTATGGCAATGTATAACAAACAGTGGTGATGTGAAATATTATGAATTAGATAAACCACCACCACCGATTGATCCTTGTCTTAAGTTTAGACAAAGAGATCCTGAGCAGGGATTAGAGGTAGTTGGTGAGATGGTAAGTCATTTATGTTTATTTTTTAATAAGCGAAATAAGTATAAAGTCTGTCTATGTATCAAGTATTCAAACATGTATGAGAATCTGAATATATCTGTATACACTTTTTAGGAATTGAGAGTAATACCATGTGTCCAGCTCTTGAAATTCATCACATTTACAGGGAATCAAGTTTGTTTTTAGTTCTATTTATTAGCATTGCTTTCTAACATAATCTGCTGTTGGTGTTGTGTAAACAAAACAATTTTGTATTTTTTTTTTTTTTTTTATTCCTTATTAGTGTATTAATACTGTATACTTTTACTAATATCTGTAACCATTGCCACTCTCTCCGGGGAGTGAGTAAGTGTTAATAAATAAAATAAAAAAATAAATAATAAATTTGCCTACTGTATTATTTTGCAACAAGTGCTGAATTGCACTTAAAGCGGGGGGAGTCGTCACCTGCGTCAGATAGCCATAGCGTATCATTGTTTATAAACAAGCATCTACTTATGGGCCTTTGTGTATTTAGCGTGTGTTGTTATTGTCGCTTGGGACTCAATTCCTGCATGTGCGCAGGTGACGATCCTCCCGTTTTAAATGTATATTTAACTTTGTTTTTGTTATCTTCATCTCCTCAGTAATCATATTTTGTTTACAGACTACTGGTAATTCATCAGAACACATCATTAATGATATCGTCAAAGGTGTCAAAGGTGTATGCACTGACTATACTACTAGAAAAGATGTTACCCAAGATATCAGGGAGAATTTTATCAAATTATCAGATGCTGTTGATAGGTCGGTAGTTTCTTGGTAAACTGTTAACTGTAATTCATAGGGAATTTTGATATTCTATTTATCACATGTATCCGATTCACAACTATTGTATTTTCTCAACTGCATGATTTTCGTTATTTGTGTGTATGCATCTTAATCTTATTAGCATGTCGTTCTCATTTGCATACTTGAAATCTGCTTCTTGAACACAGTTTTACCATCAGTTTATCGCCCGCGATTAAAATAAATTCATTCATGAAGTCGTCAATATTTCTGTTTATAGCAATACCTTAGTAAACTTTCACACATATTTGTGGTAATTCGGTGGTATCACACATTTTCATGGGAAATCAGTACAAATGGTACAGCTGGAAAAAGAAGTCCAGTACATCAATAATGAGATTTTTGTTTTTTAATATGAAACTTAATGATGCCATGTTACACTTTTGGCATATAAAACTAGTGTGTAAACATACTATGAATGTATCTTTTTAGGTTTGGTGACAGACTGGTTGTAGTCGCTTCACAGAATCTGCGAAACATTGCATTGTTGGGCAATCAAAACGATCCTGAGATTGAAATAAGTGATCTTCATTATGCCATTCTAGAATGTCTTGGCAAGTCAAGATATTATGGGATGTTACAGACTCAGATCTACACTGAATTCAACTTTGCTGCTAAAAACATGTTTTACCAGCGAAAGAAACTATTTCGAGTGATTGGTTGTGTGACAAGCCAGGTATGCCATCATATATAACATGCTACTTAAATGTTACTTTATAAGTTACCAGCAGCATATGATCTTCTGGTACTATGATAATATTTTACCAAGAAATCCTCTAGTATGCTATACAGGGATTTCTGCAAGATTTCATTAAAAAGTGAGACTGTTCCTTGTTCCAAAAACTATATCTCAGTGTTGTTGATTATTACTAGCGTAGTGGCTAGTGCTTGACAAGTTTGAATTCCCCTTGGATTGAATCCCAAAAAGCGAGTGCCGGTCATTCCTATAGAGAGAACCCGTTGCCACCCCACATAGTCGAGAATCTATTTTCATTTCGCATGCAGGGATCCCATTGCCATTCACTATGTTCAATTACCCACCATAGACTCTGGTCAGTCAAAATGACTATTTTGAACTGTAGGCATTAATCAGTGATTCTGGCGATGACGGAGAGATAGAATCTAGGTCAGGCAGCCTAGGAAGTTGCGAGTACCTGCTCGCAAATGCGCCTAAAAAATACGTCTATGCGAGTACAAACTTGTAAGTATCCGCATTTAGCTTGTAGTTTTCAGAAACTACTCGTATTTTGTGAGTGAAAATTGAAGCCCTACACGCAGCTGAAACATGCCTTGCACAAGTCAGACTAGACGAGATACCGTGTACGACCTTTAGGCTTTGAATATTTTACGATGTACTCGGAACAATAATCAATGTCACACTGTTGAATTTTCGGCTCGAACAAGACATGGCGAATAAGCAGATTACTAATTACTTTCGGCCGGTTGAACAGAACAAAATTCCAACAACAAATTCCGGGACATCAGATCCTACATCCTTGCATCCAGCCACAAAACGGAAGATGTGGGTGATCTAATACTTATCAGCCTGGAAGGCCCTAGCATGGCTGAAAGATGTGGGTGATCTAATACTTTCAGCCTGGAAGGCCCTGATGTGGGTGATCTAATACTTATCAGCCTGGAAGGCCCTGATGTGGGTGATCTAATACTTATCAGCCTGGAAGGCCCTGATGTGGGTGATCTAATACTTATCAGCCTGGAAGGCCCTAGCATGGCTGAATTTGGTCCTTCAAGTTCTGTTCACAGGTGGATGCATGAAACAGTGCGGGCAAGACTACCAAATATGAAACTGGTATGGCCTGATAACATCGAACATGCAATCTCCGACCAGGATAAAACTCAGGACTTTTTGTAACAGAACAGTATCTCTCATTTCAGTATGTCATTATTGTAGTTGTATTCGCAAAAATTAGCATAACACATTTTATTTGTTTTATGCATGAAACAATTTTGCTCCTAAAATTTTAGGTTTAGGAGCATTTTGCCAAAAAATTAACTTCCTAGGCTGTCAGGGGAAGCCCCATGATATCAAGATTCTTTTACCCCTTACGTCACGAACCCACGTGACCAAGGCCACATGGCAGCACCATAGGTAGCCGTCCATTTCTCTTCAATTCTCTCCGCCTCGTCTGTTGCTTTTTTCTGTCTGGGTTTCTAGCGTGGGTCGTCGCCGCAGCCACGGCATCCGACATTATAGCTGATAGGATAAGTTTTTCTTGTCTTTTTACCCTCGTGTCGTTTTCCTCTTTGTGTGTTATGCTTTCCATAACAAAGAAATCAAAACCCGGCGCCACCACGTAACCACATGTTGATTTCATGGCGGCACCTTTTACAACTGTAATTCGTTTTCCCTCATGCATGTCGTCTTTTATTTTTAATGTATTTAGAAATGGACAGATGCACTGGCAACGCCAGAGGCTCACCGCCGGTATTATCTCCTCAGTTTATGAGGCGGATTTGTACTCAGTGTACGCAGCAATTGCAGGAATGGAACCCGCATACAAAGTGTTATCGTTGTTTCACGTGCGTTCGGGATTCGGGTGCCTGCCCAGAGAATATTTGTAATCGCTGGGGTTCGGAAGCCTGGGAGTCGTTCCAGCAGTACATCAAGATAGCCGAGACTGACCGCGTCGCTCATTCACAAAAGGTCGCTCGGCAAGTGCTACCGGCATGGGTATGAGTGAGTTGTGCGTTGGCATGAATGATAAGTCCTCGCGCTCAGCTATCGGTTCTCATATTGGGATACCAAGCAAAGGGCCTGATAGTGGGGGTGCTGATTTTTTTCGGTCTCCCCCCGCTGATCGGATCTACACAGTCTGTTTTTTCAGACAGTGGGTTACTCAACTTTACCGGCAACAGCGAGGCTGTGCTCCTGGAGGTCTTTCCTCTTATGGGGCCCGCGCTCGGCGCCGGTTGAAATGAGGGCATTGGTTGAAGGACTGTCAGGGCAAATTGTGTCCCTGGCAGGCAGAGTAGATCACCTGCAGGCGGAGCAAGCTGTCTCCACTGCGGCCTCTCAGCCAGAAACACGTCTCTTCCGGGGAACCCGCTGATTTGGGGGAGGCCGAGGCTCAGGTTAGTGGCAGCAGGTCTCCTCGGGAACCTCAGACACGTAACACCAATGGGGACGCTGGTAGCCAGGACTCCATTTTCGGGGCAGGGCGTTCGGGTCAGGACATACATTGTACCTCCCCCCTGCTTTCAACCAGCCAGGGTTCACCGCATGGTACCGGACTGATTAATTTACCTTCAAGTCCGAGTTCCGCTGTGGGTTTCGACTCCCTTCTCGCCGACCCACAGGCGTTCCCAGAGGGAATCGACCCTGTCATGAGACGCACTCTCGAACACGCTCTCGCCCACATATTTAGGCTGAGAGGTGGCAGTTCGCTCGCGTCGGATACAGTGGGTACCTCGGGCGGTCCCTCAGAGTCCACATTGCGTAATGACTCGGTGAGCCGCGCTGTTGGGGTGATGCGGAATATTATCAGTCCAGGTGACGCTATGTATATTCCCCCACCCTTGATCCTAAAGCAGCCACTTACGGTCGCTTATATGCTGATGGGATCACAGGCGCCGGGATCCAGATCGACCCCATCCGCACGTCTCCCCTGATCCAGCCGAGCACTGAGCGTGGGGGACGGCGTGCAGACGGTGTTGAGGGGCGCTCCTTCCCCGGAGCCCTGTACCACAAACTTCTGTTTTGCCAACCGGGTGAAGGGGGACGGCCGCTAGGGCAAATTGTGTCCCTGGCAGGCAGAGTAGATCACCTGCAGGCAGAGCGAGCTGTCTCCACTGCGGCCTCCCAGCCAGAAACACGTCTCTTCTGGGGAACCGGCTGATTCGGGGGAGGCCGAGGCTCAGGCTAGTGGCAGTAGGTCTCCTCGGGAACCTCAGATACGTAACACCAATGGGGACGCTAGTAGCCAGGACTCCGTTTTCGGGGCAGGGCGTTAGGGTCAGGACATGCATTGTACCTCCCTCCTGCTTTCAACCAGCCAGGGTTCACCGCGCGGTACCGGACTGATTAATTTATCTTCAAGTCCGAGTTTCGCTGTGGGTTTCGACTCCCTTCTCGCTGACCCACAGGCGTTCCCAGAGGAAACAGACCCTGTCATGAGACGCACTCTGGAACACGCTCTCGCCCACATATTAAGGCTGAGAGATGGCAGTTCGCTCGCGTCGGATACAGTGGGTACCTCGGGCGGTCCCTCATAGTCCACATTGCGTAATGACTCGGTGAGCCACGCTGTTGGGGTGATGCGGAATATTATCAGTCCAGGTGACGCTATGTATATTCCCCCACCCTTGATCCTAAAGCAGCCACTTACGATCGCTTATACGCTGATGGGATCACAGGCGCCGGGATCCAGATCGACCCCATCCGCACGTCCCCCTGAGTGCTGAGCGTGGGGGACGGCGTGTAGACGGTGTTGAGGGGCGGTTGAGGGGCGCTCCTTCCCCGGAGCCCTGTACCACAAACTTCTGTTTTGCCAACCGGGTGAAGGGGGACGGCCGCGTTCCATGGTCATTCTCATCGACCCATTCTGAGACTATCCAACATGCCCTGAGGGCGGAGTTGCGACCCATCAATTTCCTTGAATTTGTGGGCGCCACACTGGGGCGCATTCTTGTGCGTGCCCAGGACTCTGAGACCTCAGACGCAGAACGCACTCACCTCCTAGACCAGGCGACACAGTTAATGGTAGGCCACCGTACGGCCATGTGCGATATCCTCCAGTGTCATGTGGCTCTCTTGGCCGGAGCTACTACTGTGCAGCGGGACGCGGTTTTAGACGCGTGTGTTTTTGCCAGCGAACTGAGTCAGGCGTACGCCACCGCCTCAGTTACGCAGACTGGACATCCTCCACCCTCATTGATGGATAGATAGCGGGTGCAGTCGCAGAGCTTCGGGGTGTAACAAACCAAATGGCCCAAGTCGAATCCGCTAGCCAGTTGGCCGCTGCCAAGGGTAAACGGAGGGCGCCCCAAGCACAGAAAGCACAACGCCCTAGGACTAGCTCCACTAAACAGAGTTAGCCAGGAGGCAAGCGCTCGTACCCATCTGCGGGAGGGAAGGGTAGCGGCGCGCCCCCAGAAAAGAGGACCAGGTGGTGGCTCCTCCTCCTCGGGTGGTCATCATCCCCAGCAGCGGGGTAAGCATGTTTGACACTTATCTCTGCGAGGGGGGGGGATGGACCTGCGTTCGGCAAGAGATCAGGCTACAGCTTAGTAACCCCAGTGATCTCCGGGGAGGCTCACTTCACGGTAGAGGAGAAACAACCCCCCCACCCCCCCCACTTGCAACCGCCGAACCCATGGCCACAGATCCCTGTAGCACGCTGATTGTGCTGGTGTATTCCGGCTTGGAGGCAGCAGGTAACCGATCCCTGGACGGTCACATGCGGTTACAGAATACCACTGACATCTCCTCCACCCCTGTCAGTGTCCCCCCCCCCATTGAGGGGCACTGCCAGGGGACCCCCGCAAGGCGGAAGCAATCAGACAGTTTGCTAAGAAAGGGCGTAATACACAGAATAGTTCAGCCGGCACTAAGTCCGGGCTTCTACTCAAATGTATTCGTAGTACCAAAATCTACAGGCGGCTGGCGTCCGGTTCTGCACCTAAGCAGACTAAACCAGTATGTGCTTCTCGATCGGTTTCGCATGGAGACACCATCCAGTGTCCTACTCTCCATCCACCGGCTCGACTGGCTAGTCGCTTTAGACTTATGCGACGCTTACCTGCACATACCGATGCACCCAGCGAGTTGCCCTCTCCTTCGATTCGCCCATCTGGGCCAAGTATTCAAATTTCAGGTGCTTCCCTTTGGGTTATCCACAGCGCCCTACGTATTCACCAGAGTGATGAATCAGGTAGTGCTGCTGCTCCACCAAATGTCGGTACACATCAATCCGTACCTAGACGACTGGTTGATACACAACCCAGACAAGGGGTTATAGCCAGACATGTAAGGCTTATACAGGATTTACTTCACCAGTTGGGCTTTCTAGTAAATCACAAAAAGTCCCATCCTGACCCGACTCAACAGTTGGTGTTTCTGGGCATAGAGTTCGACACCGAAGTAGGCCTGGTTCGCCAATCTCAAGCGCGTTGCCTAGCTCTAAGCAACCTAGCAGAACGCCTAGTCAGCGTACCTTCAGTGTCTCTCCGAGAACTAATGCGGCTCATCGCAATGATGACCTCCGTTTGAAGGGTAGTTCCCCAGGCCGCACTACGCAGCTGCCCGGTCCAACGCTTGTTATTGGAACAACGAGCTCACCTACGGGAACCAAACAGATGGGTATTCATCCCGGACCAAGTAAAGGAAACCCTGTCCTGGTGGTCGTCACTGACCAACCTCAGACAGGGGGTCCCCTTGGACCCACTCGTCACAACCATGACTCTGGTAACAGACGCCTCCCTCCAAGGGTGGGGAGCGCATCTATTGGACAAACAAGCCCAAGGAATATGGCCCCCGCAATGGGTTTGGGACCACCATATCAACTAGCTCGAGCTGAAAGCAGTGCACCTAGCACTTTCACGCTTTCGACTCGAAGTTCAAGACCACAGAGTCCTGCTGCGCACAGACAACGCAGCGGTGGTCTCCTACATCAACAAGGAGGGGGGACGCGTTCCCCGTCGTTGTCGGTCCTAGCAGAGCAAATTCTCCTTTGGTGCCTGGAATACAATGTGGAGCTAACCGCACACCACCTTCCAGGGGTGAGAAACGGTCTGGCAGACGCCCTTTCAAGGCGCCTCTGTCTCCAGAACACGGAGTGGCAGATCCTCCAGTGGGTAACCTCCAGACTGTTTTGGCTGTGGGACGGTCCAAAGATAGACCTGTTCGCTGCACTCCGGAATGCCAAGCTCCCGACATACGTAACACTCCTGCCGACACCAGGAGCATGGGCCGTGGACGCCTTATCGATCCCCTGGTCTCACATGGACAGCACAGGCAAGGTAAGACACCACCCTTCTTGGGTCTTAACTTAGGTTTTTGAGTTTGTTTTCATCCTGGACTGGGAAAAGACTTTCATCATTCTTTTTTTTCTGTTTGCTCGGAAAAACCCGCCACCTATCGGTGTCTGCCTACAGTTCAAAATAGTCATTTTGACTGACCAGAGTCTATGGTGGGTATGAACTATGTGAATAGGCGGGTTCGGAGAACCCTCACCTAAATCCCACTTAACCCATTGTCACCCCATATGAACATGTATTGCCTTCCTACAAATGAAGCTCATTCCACCTTATATAGAGGAAACCCATTTCTGCCCATAGAGTGAGCTAATTGATGCCCCATGTACTCCTATTGCCATCCACACAGAATGAACTCATTTCCACGCCGCATGCGTGTACAGGCATCCTATTGTCAGCTCCACATGGGGAGAACCCATTGTTACCCCACACAGAGGAAGTCTATTGCCATTCTTAATAGAGGAAACCCATTGCCACCCACATACTTGGGTTGGGTGGTTAATTGTTTAATTTATTTATTTCCTTATTTATTTATTCTGTATTTCTATGTTTAGTTCTATGTATTAATTATTTACTGTTATAACTAGTCTTTGTAGCATTTTTTGTAATAATCAATTGTGTTAGGTGAATACTACGCCCTTGTATTTTTTTTCCCATTGAAATAACTGTATACAGGGGAACAGACTTGTCTAGCATTTTTTCTTTTCTTTTTTAATATTTATTATTTCGCAATGTTCTCTCCTTGTCGTATGTTTTTAGTTCTTTGTACTACATGTACCTGTAATCTATGGCAAATAAATAAATACAAATACTTGTACATGTAGAGGAAACACATTACCACTCCACGTACATCATTACTAATTTTACATTAGTTTCAAAACTTTCAAAAGTTGTAAATTTAAAAAAAATTCTACTGCCTTATCTCTCACTTAATAGCTTAAAATTTTTTTATTCAGAGTTATGCTGTACGTTTGCCAGGAGGACGTCTACAGCATTCAGTTTTACTGATGTTAAAACGCTTTCATGTCGATTACCGTAGTAAATATGATGTCCTATCAGAGAAACTGTCAAACTTATTAAAGACCAAGCCTGACCAGATGGATGTAGCAGTTAATGTGAAATGTGAAATGGTGAGAGTTTTAGATATGTTCTAAAATAACTTAAATGGGTTATTTGAACAGTGATATTAGTGATTTATAAAAAGATGTTTATAATGTAAAAACAATGTTATTATATTTAGTTTTCACTTTGTCAACATTGTAGATTAAGGGAAAAGTATATTAGGTATACATTTCTGCCCATGTGGTTGTGAAGTACCCATTGTAAACATTTTTTTGGCCATAAGCAATCAAAATCTTTAGTTTCCACTGGATACAGATATGTCACAATGTGAGCTTATAACTACCGTGCGTATGTGCGTACATGCCCTGGCCATATCTCCTTTCAGAATTATGATGCAGCACACATTTTTAGTTATTTTTTGACCTAAAAAAGACACTTTTTGACCAAAAAATCATACATAAAATCCACTGATTTAAAAAAGCAAAATTCGTTTGCATCTGTACACTTAAGTGATACACCTTTGTAGCTATGTCAGAGTTATGATGTGACACACATTTTTAGTCTTACTTAGCATTTTATGTTGATTGTTAAGTAAAAGTAAATTCATGACCAACCTCCCTCATTATATTTAGCAAGTACAACACTATTTGTTATGTCTGAATGGTTTATTGAATAGAATTGAACAAACACTATCATTATATGGAAGGACCGCTGTTCGTGATATATTTAAATTTGAAAAAAAGTATTTTAACAATTCAGAGTGCACCAACTATTGTGACAAGTGCTGTTTTCAGTTTTAAAAAAATTCTCAATTGAATAGTTGCTACCTTGATGGCATATTTGTGATTGCATTCTAGTGTAAATTGGGTTTACTGTTGTGTAGATATTATTTACCAATTGCCACAAGTCAAATTAAATTTCTGAAAAACAAAACAAACAAAAACAGCTTGATCTGATGTTGACCTTTCCATCTCTCATCTAAAAATTTTTTTTTTTTAACTATTCCAATTTTTGTGTGTTTTTTTTAGGGTCTTGAATATGAAGCATCAGCTTTCAAAAAACTTCTCAAGTATGCATTCGGTTTGAATTTCGTAAAAATGGTAAATGTAACCAAAAAGGTTGAGACGGCACCCGACAAAAGTAGAACACAAACTACAAAATACTTGAAGTTATTGAAAGATTATAATTCAAAAGATGAAGCTATAGTTGATGATGAAGAGGAAGAGTTCACT